CTGGAGAAGAGGAGGCTGAGGGGAGACCTTATTGCTCTGTACGACTACCTGAAAGGAGGTTGTAGCGAGGTGGGAGTCAGTCTCTTCTCCCAAGTAACAAGCGATGGAACAAGAGCTAACAGCCTCAGGTTGCACCAGGGGAGGTTTAGGTTGGACATTGGGAAAAATTTCTTCACCGACAGGGTTGTCAGGCATTGGAACAGGCTGCCCAGGGAAGTAGTTGAGTCCCCATCTCTGGATGTATTTAAAAGATGTGTAGATGTGGTGCTTAGAGACATGGTTTAGTGGTGAACTTGGCAGTGCTGGGTTAATGGTTGGACTCGATCTTAAGGGTCTTTTCCAACCTAAACGATTCTATGATTCAATGAGAAGAGAATGCAGGTTTTCTTGCCTCTCCATATCTAGAATTGGAAGTAAAAGTGAACTGAGTGGAGCTTATGAATTATTCTTAGTACATGAGGCAACAGGTTTTCAGGCTTAGTGTGATAGCTGGGAGACCCTCAGCTCCATCTAGAACTTAAAATGGCTGCAAGGCTGTTGCTTTGGCATGTCATTTTGAAGGTAATATGTGGGAAAAATAAAATTAACTAGGAGAAATGTATCTGCTCATCACTTAGGAGTCTCTAATCCTGGAGTATTGAAAACCCTAACTCCCACTGACCTCATGAGAAGTGAGAGCTACTTTGCACCTAGCAGATGTCACACTATGGTACTTCTAGAGCCTGTTCTGTACTAATCACTGTTCCGTGTGTATTTGATTGACTTACTATTTACGTGTGTTTTGGAGGCTTTTCCAAGGAGGCAAGAGAATTGCTTTGTTTTAATGATATTTTTCCATAATAAATATAGAATGTTCTATAGGGAATGTTTGTGCTAGAGACAAAAATATGTTGCTTTCATTTTATTTCAGATGCTTCAGGCATGCTCAGTCCAGCACCTACCTGTACCGTATGCAGCATTTCCACCCCTCATTTCTAGTGACCCATTCCTTTTGCATCCTCCTCATATCTCTCCACACCACCCTCCTCACTTGCCTCCTCCAGGACAATTCGTTCCTTTCCAAGCACAGCAGTCACGGTCGGTAAGTGATGCTTCTTACCCTGCTCTCCATAGAATTGGTGGGGCTGGATGGGCAAATAGTGCTGATACCTGATTGAGGAAACAGAATGATTTTGTTTAAAGTAATAGGTTTTTGTACTTATGCTTCCTTAGCAAGTCTGTAACCACTTAGTGTGAAGATGAAAAAATAATTTTAAAGTTCACCGTGTTTCTCTTCAGATTTCATCAGCTGTTGTCTGTGCTGCTTCTCCATAGGCCTTTAATTCTGTCAAAAAGATAAATATTTGCTTCACCAACTATTCCTTGAGGTATTTCTTTCCCAGGAAGCTGAAGAGAATCCAGAAGAGGCTGTGTAGTGCAGTAGTGGTTTCAGAGAAAAGGTTAGCAGAGAGAGAAGAAAGCACAGAATGTTACTTTCATTACACACTTCTTTTTTATTACTTCTCAGTTAATTTTTAAATGACCAGTGCTTTTCCCAGAACATAATGAGCTTATGTCATCCAGACATATTCAGGAGCCTGCAGTCTCCCTTTCTCCTCCCCCCCCCCGAAAGTTATTGATGCCTTCTGCTTAAGCAGGCTTGGCTTAGTGATAGGGACTGTGCAAACATGGGAAAATGTGACACTTTTTTGGATTTGGGGGGAAATTAGATTTTCAGTTCTGGCCTGCAGCTCTTACTGTGGAGTAACTATATACTCGTGTCCATTTATTTGCCCCTCTGACTAGAAGATGCTAGTGTTTCACTAATGCAGAAATAGAAAACAGCTTCACTGTTACTTACAAACACTGTTGAGACTTCTCCATGCTATGTCTCAGGTGTGGATAGGGTTGTAATCACTGTTATGATGGGAGAACAGCTGGGAAAATACAGTTTTCAGTGATAATCTTTATAAGACTTTCCTTTAGAAAATGTATGGGCTCGGGTTTTAGCTTGGGTTGCTTGCTTAGGTTATTGACTAGGCTTGCCTGTCAACTTTCAGCTCTGGCAAAAAGCTTGTATCTTAGTGATTTAAGAATATCTTGTGTTTAAAGTTTGCTCTGCATAACAGGGGAGCAGAATATTCCTTTGATTCCGCAAGGTGGCTTTCTTAGCTGAATCTCTTGAAATGCTGGAATTCAGTGTCAGAAACAGAAAGGTGTATTAATGAAACAGTGACAATTCCTGGTTATTTCTTGAGTGCTTTTGGGCCTGACTGATGTACTCCAGTTGCCTAGATTGCAATACTGAACTGAAATCTCATTCTTCTGAAACCTCTGGACTGTGTGCTCTTAGTAGGACTGCTTGCTTGCATGACCCTCCTAGGGAAGCATCTGCGTGATTACTGAATATCATTAGCAGTTTAATCCACTGGCGTCGCCATGTTTCCTCTCCACTTTTCAGATTTTCTGGCACAATTTCAGTTCTTGTCTATGGTTGTTTATTTTTTTCTCTCGCATAGTTGTACAGTGAGAGCAGCCTGGCAAGAAGGAGAGCAAATATTTGTCCTGAAAAATGCAAGACACAGGAAATTACAGCCACTCCTATATTTGCTAGATCGCATAAATTCCTGGTCTATAAGCATGGCTAGCTGGAAAAGGTGAATTTATATCAAATGTGTAGTGTTGTCTTTGCTTTTTGGTAGTGTTAATGACACAGGAATTGTTCACAGAGTTACTATGTGAAACTGAGTACGATTATACCTGTAACTTTTTTTTTTTTTTGTACGATATAAAATTGACTACAGCAGCTCAGAATATACAGCTGGGATTGCAGTTCTTTATTGGGGAAAAAAATTACATCTCTGTTATTGCAACAAAGCCTATCTCTGGTTTTTTTTTTTAGCCACTTCAAAGGATAGAAAATGAAGTAGAACTGCTTGGAGAACATCTTCCTGTAGGAGGTTTTACATATCCTCCTTCAGCCCATCCACCAACATTGCCTCCCTCAGCTCCTCTCCAATTTCTAACCCACGATCCTTTACACCAGGAGGTGTCATTTGGTGTAGTAAGTATTGTTTTCTGTGCTATAGTACATTTTGTTGAAGAGTGGCACTTCTTGCGGTTGTATTCCATTATTGGCTATAGCTGCACACCGTGGTATTTTCTTTAAGCTTGTTTTAATAAAGTTAAGGGTAACTTAATGATACCAGCAAATGATTTCTGATAACATTATCTGCAGAGTGTCTTAGCAGTTACTTAGGAAACATTCCATGTTGCCACACAGTCCAGGAATTTTACTGCAGAAACTAATCAGTACAGTTTAGAAAAGCTGCTGTCACTTTTAGCTAATTCTTCATCCCATGTTAGGTTTCCACAAGTCAGGAAAGCTGAAATGCTTTAAAAATAGTTCTTGTCCAGAGTGTTTGCAGTTTGCAGGCAAGCAGTTGTATATGTACTTCCATAATTTAGACTGCACTATGTTACAAGGACAGCCACGCTTGCTTTATGCCAACTTTCTGGGGATCTCCAGGCAGTTCAACAGCAGCAGCACAAAAGAATTTAAACCTGGTGCAGGATAAAGTCTGTGCTAAATTTTGTGCTTCTGTGGTGTGTCCAGTATCAGTGCTACCTCTAAGATCTTTGCGGTGCAGTTCAATCTGCAATTATGTTAGTCCTGAGATGGTTTTTTTGTTGTTGTTGTCGTTTTGTGTGTTTTGGGTTTTTTTTAAAAACCTCTTCTGCCTCTGTAATGCTTGAAGAAATAACTAGAAGTCAAGTATAGGCTCTGAATTCTTCTAACGTTTGACCTGTGCATCAAGTTGACAGAAGGTTTTAGAGGCATATTGTTATTTAAAATTTTAAATAAGAATGAAATTTTAGGCACTGTGACTACAGAATATACAGATAACTTCTCTTTAATTAGTCTCCTTGAAATCACACCACCTAGTTAAATGCTTGGTGCAGTTTTTATAAAGGTTCAAATAAGTCTCCACCACTTAAAAAAAATACTCAGCTCATTGTTAAACTAAAGGTGCACAGATTTTCAATTAAGTTTTCCGTCACTATGAGTCACTCTGGAGACAGACACTTAAAAACTTCCATAAATTGCTTGTATTTTATTCAATATGCTTGTTAGATGAATTACAGTCTAATCACAAACATTTTGGTTGGAGTGAGGCTTTCTCGATTTTCAAGTTCAGTCTTTAAAGCAGATAAGGAACAAAGTACCATGTTTTTGCAGGTTATATAGCATTTTTCCTCTCTGATGCTTCAGTTCTGGGTTGTATATTGCTGAGGAGTAGACTAGAGATGTATTACAAGTAATCCTATGGTCTTTCATAAAGCAATCCTAAATCTTTATAAAATTTTATTTATATTAAAATTATGATGGAGTGGCTGCATTTCTGATTCTTTTTCATTCAGCGAACAGAACAGTTTCTAATTATATTTTTGGATTGCAGAATTCACAAAGCAGTAAAACTGATATTTGCTATGTCTAGTTTGAGATCTTACTTTCAAGAAAAAGACCCTGCCTCTTTTGCATTGTGATTATATTCGTATGTAAATTCTATGTACGACCATGGCTACCTATTAATAATGTAACATTGTAAAGTTAGGGGGTTTTAGGTTAGTCATTGGTGGGGTTGGGCTTTTGCATTTTCTTAAATTTCAAACATGAAGGAAGAAAAACATGTTAGTGAAGACTTTGAGTGTTCTTCGTTTGAAAAAAAAAAGTTTCAAGGCCTTCAAATACAAGTTCAATAGTGGTACATGAATTTCAGTTTTAAAAATTGCTAAAAAAATTTTAGTGCTTGGAATATTTCTGGGAAAACATAGTCTGCATTTAAGTGGAAATCTTTTACCATGTATGTCCCCATTTTAATAGGTAATGCAAGGAATTTTGAACAATTATAATGAAAACTTAAATATGAGAGTAAAGAGTTTAGCATGTAAATGAAAAAATGTATGACAATAAAGCCCTGTTTTATCCATGGAAAGAAAACATTGAAGCTTTAGGCTTGACTGTCTCGTTAGGTGTTGTCCAGCTGCAGAAATTGTACTGATTAAACTCATGTACACCTGAAAGACTTCAATCCTTGTTTAACACAAATGTAAATATGCACCACTGCTTAAAAGTTTTCTTTAAAAAACAGCATTTTTAAGGATCTTTTTTGAAAGACTTTTTTTAAGGCTTCTTTACTCAACCACTTGTGCACAAGTTTGCCAAATAGCACCAGGCCTAAAACCTGGGCTTTTATATTTACAAGAGAGTCAGCAGTTCAACTCCTGTTTCCCAGCCCAGCCTGCATGTAGACTAAGCACACAAGACCTTGCAAGGATTTCTGTTGTGTGGTACTAATTTTTCACATGGAATAGTATGATTGTGTGTTATTGATGGGAATCGTTTCAAATTGAGGCTGAAGTTCTTTTGGATTTGAGCAGAGGGTGGATTTTTTTAATAATGCTGTATTGAAAGTGGATTTCGACATTCAGATTTCATTTTATTTCATGATTAAGAAAACAAAATGTTGAATCACAGACTCACAGACTGGATGAGGTTGGAAGGGAGGTCATCTGGTCCAACCCCCCTGATCAAGCAGGGCCACCTAAAGCCGGTTGCCCAGGACCATGGCCAGTCAGCTTTTGAAAATCTCCAAGGAGGGAGACTCCACCACCTCTCTGGGCAACCTGTGCGAGTGCTCGGTCACCCTCACGGTAAAGAAGTGTTTCCTGATGTTCAGACGGAGCCTCCTGTGTTTCAGTTTGTGCCCATTGCCTCTGGTCTTGTCACTGGGCACCACTGAAAAGAGCCTGGCTCCGTCTTCTTTGCACCCTCCCTTCAGGTATTTATACACATTCATAAGATCCCCCTGAGCCTTCTCTTCTCCAGGCTGAACCGTCCCAGCTCTCTCACCCTTTCCTCATATGTGAGATACTCCAGTCCCATCTTAGTGGCCCTTCGTTGGACTCTCTCCAGTATGTCCATGTCTCTCTTGTGCTGGGGAGCCCAGAACTGGACACAAGTTCCAGTTCCACAAGTTCCCGTTGAAGCTTATTTTCTTCTTTCTTGCAGCCTTACCCACCTTTTATGCCTCGAAGACTCACAGGGCGCAGCAGATACCGATCACAGCAGCCAATACCACCACACCCTTACCATCCCAGCCTATTACCTTATGTGCTGTAAGTTCAAAGTACATTTGCTTCCATGTAGGCTATTAAGTCATGTGACTTTCAACAAGAGTCTCGGCACTTCTTATGGTTGGACTCTACCAGAGAACAGGCATAATTCAGCTGTCCCAGAGAGGAAGAAAACTTCCACTTCTGTGTAAATTTTTCAGCCTGTTTTGAATAACATACACACTTGAGCAAGGAAAAATACAAGTGAGCAGTTTTGTCCAATGTAGTTTTGTAGGGTTTTTGAGGCACAGTAGCCTCTTGTTTCTGAACTCTTCGTAAAATCTTCAACAGATTTTAAAACTTGGTTCTTGGATATTCTTACAGAGGCATGGTTACGCTGTAGGATAAAGTCCTAGGAGTCTTCACTTATGGAATAAATTCATTTGGTTTGGTTCTTAATTACGAAACACAAGGGTGGGAGCTTTCTATGATGTGTTGCTCTTTATTGGCTGAACTGCTAATCTATTACAGCTGTTGAATTTCTGTTCTGCCTCTCATTAGCTGTTTCTGGAAAATATGTGGGACAATTAACATTTAGGAATTATCTGTAGTGTGTTACGGTAGACACTCTGTGGGGGATTTAGGGTATATGACATGAGATTTTTTACTCTTCTATGGTCTGTTTTGGAAATAAGTATGAAATGTTTGGAAAACAAAGATTATTTTCTGGTGGCAAAGGTGACATTGACAAGGAAATAATCAAACATTGGCACCAGATCTGTAGTTTCTCTCTGTGCAGTTTCAGACGTGGCATGAAAATGGCACCAGAAATCTGATCCAGTGAAGTTGTTCAACTTTGCATCTTACAGTCTGAAAGTGATGTCATAGCTTCTTACGTGTCCATTGAGGACACGATGTGGCACAGTAATTACTGATGACTCCAGCAGGATTTTAGTATATTTTAGTGCTGTGAATTTGTGATTTCTATGTCTGTGTGTTAAGTTTTGACCCACAGGACTATCTTGGGGGGTAAAAACACTTGTTGAATATAAAATGAGAAAAACATCTCTCTCTTGCCTCTCTATGTGAAGAGATTCTGCTTTGACCAACATCAGAGTATGTGAGAAAGTGAGTTTGTGCTTGTCTTCAGTATGGAAGTTGGTCCAGTAGCATATCCTATTTATCTTCATTGTGTGTTTTAAGCTTACAAAAGTTTCAAGGCTTTTGTATTGGAGAGCTAAGTGAACTTAGGATTTCTTATCTTTGTTGATATTTTATCCACTTAAAGAAATAAAACATATTTAAATCCAGAATGTCAATTCATTCTCAGTTTTAGCTCTCCATAATCTGTGATAATCAAGAGATTAGTTTTTGTAATAATGCTGAGCCTGGTTGGAAGTATCAGTTGAGACATGCATGCAATTGCAATTAAAAAGGCAGCACTCTCAGTATAAAAAAGTGGCAAAATTAGCTTTTTCATTTAACTCTTTCACATCAAATGTCTATTCTTGACTTCAAACTTAACATTGTTACCAGTTCTGAGAACCTGTTGATTTGAGAGGCATCAATAAGGTAACTTCACCTCTGCCAGATGTTTCTGTGCCTGCCTTCAGCAAGATGCTGAACCTTATCATTGTTTGCTCTCGTGGTAGATCAATGCTCCCAGTGCCACCTGCAGTTGGACCAGCTTTCAGCTTTGAGTTGGATGTGGAAGATGGAGAGGTAGAAAACTATGAGGTTGGTGTGCGAACTACAACTACCTTTAAAAAACAGTTAGCTCAAGCAATACATAAAATTTCATTTTATTTTGCTTTTAATCTTGCTTTTATCTTTCAAATAAATGTAATGACTGTGAAGACAGAATCCAGAAAACATCCTTTCAGATTTTTTCGCAATACTGGATATTAGAAGTGCTTAGCTTGGTTTTTTTTGTCTATTGCTCTTTCCCAGAATCCACCCTTCCAGGCTAGTAATCATTAAATTGTTCAGCTTTTATGTTCTACATGCTACTTTTCTCCTTTTGAATTTTAATTGATTTTAAAGATCAAACAGAAGTGAAGCACTTTCAAAAGAACAGGGTAAGTTACTGGGTTTATGTGAGTCACTTTGCAGAATAGTGTTAATGTCATAAGATTAATTAATCTAAATATAATGTTTATAAAACTGCCTTACTGCCTTTTCTTCTTGGCCCTCAGGAGGGTACACTAATTCACATCTGTATAGATGTAGAACCCTCTTTAATATCATAGATAATTATGGGGCAGTCCCAGCTGTTGGGTCTTTGCTGGTTCTGAGACTATTGGATTCCATTTGATTTCTCTTCAGACAGTCATCATCAACTTGTGCATCTCTTTGCCTGTGCTCCCCTTAAGACCTCTGTGTAGTTGCACATTTTCAGTTTAACAATGAGCACTTCTGTAATAAATTCTGTGCTAGTTCAGAAGAAGCATCATCTTATTTCTGAGAATTTGGGCCATAGGTTTGACAGTATTAGAAATCTCTTTGTGATCAGTACCATTTGCAGCTTTCACTAAGTCTTTTAACTTTTCTATACCTTGATTCTCCGTCACGTTTATAGTGATATTTTTCCTAAGTCCCATGTGAAGTTAAATACATGACAGAGTGCAATTTATTTACACAAGAGGCTTTTAGTTGCAATGCTTGGCTTATAGAAAATGAACATAAAATTTAGCAAAAAAAGTGCTTAAAGTTTGATGGTACGTATTTGTTCTCCAGATTAAGGATAAAATCTCTGTATTTCAGTTCAGCTAACACAAGGTGTGGAGTGGGAATCAGAACCTGTCCCGTTAAATTCTTGATTTCTCTTACAAGACCAGACTCGCATATTCTTAGGAAGCAAATTTATTGACAATTTTTTCTGGTTACCAGCACTATTAATTTCATAGTGGCATAAGGGGATCCTTCAGAAGCAAAATACTTACCAAGCTATGCATGCAGCCACAGGACTAATTGAAAGTGGGGTCCTGGAGGTTCTGAAATCCCAATGAGAACATCTGACATAATTAGAAACACAGCTGAATTCTGAAAGACTTTCATGGGGCTTGTGCTGTAGGGGAGAACTAAGGTTCTAAACATTTCTTGGTAGAAGGGTGTTTTGTGCTACCAGCTGGGGTAGTGAGGTGTAATGGCAGTCCCACCTCTAGTGAAACCAGAGCCTGTTTGAGGAGTGAATTTTTAAATGTCCAGTTTCCATGTTTTGCAGGCACTGCTGAATTTGGCAGAACGTCTGGGAGAAGCCAAACCACGAGGACTGACAAAGGCAGACATTGAACAGCTTCCATCCTACAGGTTCAATCCAAACAACCACCAGTCAGAACAAACATTGTAAGTCCATTGGTCTCTTTCAAAGGTCCATAATTTAGGTGGCTATATTTTCATTTCTTTAACTTGCAGCCTCAGCTAGGCCAGAAGGGCTTTAAAAGCAGTAAACAGTTTAATTTTCTTTTTTTTCTTGGATTGCTTTCCAGATCAAATACTATTTATCCTTACTTTAAAACCTCTATCTAGTCTCACATCATTTAGCTATGTTTCAATTTAGTTCCTCAACATTTAAAAGATTAAAATGAAAGAAAGGTGTTCTAGGTTTTGTTCAGCATACTAGATATTAAATTGACCTTGTCAACATGGAATTTGGCCTGTGTTAAAATAGCATCAAGTGTTGAAGTTTCAAGTGCTCCTGATAGAGCGTGGTCAGTGGTTTAAGAGTGCATCTTCTTATTTTTAAAACCCATTAACTTACTGTGTTTGATAGATCTGCACCCCCTTGAAAGGGCACTATAGATATGAAAGTAGTTAAAGTGACTTAGTACCAAATGCTGTCTAATGTTTGAACTTCACTGTAAGGCTTTTTCTCTGATATTCCAGTTTCAGTGACCTTCAGTGTGGCTTACTAATATCAGTAGGGATTGAACTTTATAGATTGTTATCTCTGCCATTTTGATTTTTGATTAAACATCTGTTCTGTTGGTTTGGTCTATGAACTCCAGTGAGCAGGAGCACTTGCTTTGTGATTTGAAAGCACAGAAGAAAAACCTACAACAGCAATTCTCAGTTTACATTGTCACACTCCACATCTTCAACCACAGACACAGATAACTGTAGCTGTCCAAGGCGTAAAAGAGCTACCATGTTGCAGTCATATGTGTAAAGTTTTGTATGGAATATGTATTTGTTATTCATATGTAGCAGATACATTTGAACTTTGTTGTCTTTTTTAGGTGTGTGGTGTGTATGTGTGATTTTGAGTCAAGGCAGCTACTTAGAGTCTTACCCTGTAACCACGAGTTCCATGCCAAGTGTGTCGATAAATGGCTGAAGGTAAAAAAAAAAAAATAATTCTTATCTTACAGGGAATTCATTATGTAGTTTGGGGGGAGGGGGAAGGGTATTTTGCTGTTCCACTTCATTTCGTCTTGTTTCACGTTTCTAATACTTAGGCTAGAAATGCCAACAGAGTGGAAGCACTGCCTACTTATATTTTTCTAACAACTGATGAAGGAATTTTCTTTATAATCCTTGGAACAAGTTAAAATGAATATGAAGAGAATTACTTTCATTGACAGATCTTACTGTGTTTTCCATTTGCACAAAACAATGACTGTGAATTCAACTGATCTGTGAAATTAAAGAAGACTTGAAAACAAAAAAGTAATGTAACAATATAGGAAGTATGAATTAGAGTTTCTGTGATGATGATGGCTTTAACTGTTTTAGATATCCCACATGGAAAGAATGAGTTAGTAATACCTTCGTTGCCCACTTTGCTATTAACATTAGGTTCTGGGGCAAATAAAATGTTATGTGTGTACATATATGTGTATGCATATATACACATATATAAATGTAATATATAAAAACAGAAATTATAGTTTTACAAAGTTATGATATACCCTTCCAAGAGAATTTGAGCAGAAAAGAAAGTATCTAGAATCAGGGAAGCCCAGTAAAAGGACAGAGAAAATAGCAGCAGTACAGAAGGTGTGAAGAACAGGAAATACAAATAAATAGATGATGATATACAGACATCTCTACCAGCTGCATTAGCCAGATCTACTGCCAACAAGGTACTGATCCCCATCTTGCCTCACCTTTTTTCAGTATTTTATTGTATTCAGGTTTAGATTAATTTGTGTGTAGTCTGTTGTATAGAACATTTGCAACTGCAATGATCCTATGTTAATCCAGGATACAGTCCCTAGAGAATTATGGATGGTGTCTGTTGTTTTGGAAAAAGAAATTAAACCCCCTTGCCTTTATGGCTTCATAAAAACAAGAAAATGCTTATCTTGGGCATACACTAAAATATTCAGTGCAGAGAATGAAAAAATCAAGTTAGTATTGACAGCATTCTTTTGGCTAACAAGATATCAGGAAGAATGAGAAGGATTTTAAAAACTGGGATATGAAATTGCTCTTGGGCTGCAGTACCCACGATAGTCTAAGGCTTCTACAAAATCTAAGGCCACTGTAAATGTTTTGACAACAATGCTTATAACTGTCAGTAGAATTGGTGTCCTTCAGTATCTGAATCTTGAATCAGTATCTATCACTACATACTTGAGAATCAGCAAGAGGAATGTAAACACCTAGTTGTTTTATTGTCAGATGAAAAAGCCACACACACACACATAATATTATCAATATATCTATGCTAGATGTATGCTGTTTTATTCAGTAACTGCAAAGTAAGAATAGATTATATCTGTTCAAGTGGTATTCTCCAGTGTCTCCCTACTCCTCTCGAGGAGTGTTCACACTAGATTTGTCAAGTCTTCTCATTGCATGAAACTTTGTAAGTCATTTGTGGTGTGGACAAAGTATCCAGGGAGAGTATTCACTCCATTTTATGAAAAAAGAACTAAGATCATTTGACACAGCCTGTGAGATAGTGGGTGCTGTAGGTCTATATAGTTTAAACTGATTATATAGATTTTAAAAAACACAGCTTTTTCCAGGCTATTAATGCAAAAAAATATACCTCTGATTCATAGAGCCCCTGATCTGCAGATTGCTGGAAGTTAGAAGAACATGTCAGGGAAGTATCATGCATGCTTGTCCTGTTCTTATGCTCTTTCTTACCTGACGTTGGTCTCAAGAGTCAGACAAGTATGTTGAATTAAGTTTTTTTGGGACTCAGTGTGGTATTTCTACAGTTAGACTTACTACTTTCAACTGTTTATGAACTGGCAATCGAATTCAGAACAGCAAAGTGAAAAAAGCAGATTTAGTTTAGTCTTTGTTTTCATAATTATAGATGTACTGTAGTAGTGGTGAAACAGCTTTTTTCTGATGTTCCTGTCCCAGCTTAGGAACTATGTATTTTCTAACAGATCTTCAAGTGTTCTAAGTGATCTAAAGGTTATTTTATCATAGAAAAACTCTGAGCACAAGAGTGTCAGCTAGGCGGGGGAATGAGGTGAAAGAGATGCAATCTAAACCTGAAGAGGTTGCAGTTATACCCACCTAAAACTGCCTGTATTGATGCTGTGTATTCCAGAGCTGGATGCAAAATAAGCTAGACAAGGTTAAAGCATCATAGTGTAGGATTGCTAAGGCAATGTATTTACACCATGTGGGTTTAGTTACACTGTTACAAAGATGGTGTATGGAAATAAAGATTATTTTGCTTTGCAAACTATAACAAATTACCTGTAACACCAGCCTATTTTAGTTACAGCCTCTGTCTAAATTCGGTTACAGTTAAGCAGCAAACATCTGGAAGTGAGGATAACTGTAAGATATTGGGGGCTATAGTTTTGCTTCTGTCCATTTCTTTATGTATTTGACAACTTGTTTTATATGTTGATCCTATAATTATGTCCACATCCACTTAATTCGCATCATTCAGCCAACATCATGTTGATAAATTCTGCAAGGGAAGGTAAAAATGGTAGCTTTCAGTACTTGTAACTTTTTTCCACAAGGTAAAAAAAGAAAAAAGTTACCAGTTTGTCCCTATGTTTTAGTGATTTAATCTTGTCTCTTTGAAGAAAGTATTTGCTATCTAGGAATATTTCTAGAACTAGTTCTAGAACTGTGGAGTCAAGTTGATTCTTCTTAAGTTTCACCACATTGTTAGTGAAAGATTCAAATAAGAGGTCAGTGATCCAATGTGATTATTTTTTAAAAAAACCCTTATTCCACTGCCTGTTGGTGATGATGGACCGAAAACAAAGTATCTAAGAGAGTCTTGTGGCTTGTCTATGCATGGAAGGCTTGATCTGTTCTGCTGGTACAATGCTATGTACAGTACCACCTTTTTAGGTAGCATGAGCAAGGGAGAGGCAATGTTCTTTTACAGCACATTAGGTTGCCCACTTTAATTCATACTTCCCTGGTTAAGCAAGGTTAAAGACTTGCGAAAGAAGATGTAGTACAGTGGAGGAAACAGAATTAACAAGAGGGAGGTTATCCTTTTGCTTTTCATAATATTGTCAACTGTCATATTTCACAGTATTTGGTTATTTCTTAATATCCTAAATTCTTTAGTCAAATATGAATACATGACAAATCTGTTCTTTTGTAAAGTAGGAGTTAGTTATCATTCCAAAGGAAAGCTTGAAAACATGACCTTTCTTCACCCTGAGGGTTTACGGCCAGATTACAAGGAAAACTTAACTTTATATTTAACATTCTGATAGGAGATGCTGTATTATATATGAGAAAAGACAAACTGTAACTATAGTTTCACTTGGTTCTGATGGATTAACACTGAAGTAGGGCAATGCTTTTTAGAGGATTCTAGTAGCCCTAGAGATTCATTATTCTCAATGCAGTTCACTTTAGCTATAAATTTCTATAAAACAAAAAAAAAAATCAGTTAGTTCATTGTGCAGTTCACTCTCCTTACAGTACAAAAAGTAAGTTTGCCTGAAAGAGTGGCTAGTTAGAAGGTCACTATTACAATATTATGTCCATCTTACTCCTCTTTTTGCACCAAAGAGTCATGTTAAATGCCAGGAAAGGCGAATGAATTTCATGAAAGGCAAGAATGCAACTAAATTTAAAACAGATGTTCATGTAGGATCTTGAAAAGTTCCTTGAAAAAGCAGTGGTGCAGTGTCCATGAGTATTTTATCCTGGCACAGTGGATTTATTTCTGCAATTCCTATCAGGAAATTACTCCCACTGAATGCTCTGTTTCATGCTACAAATGGTAGATACTTAATTACTTATCTAAGCGAATACATCTTGATTCATTAATCCATTGAATTTTGAAGAACATGCCTTTTTATTTTAAAAATTATATTAGCGGAATTATAGCTAGAATAATGCAAATACAAAGTAGTGACCAAGTAATGGCGTTGTCCTCAAGTAATTTCAAAACTGCTAGTGAAAAAGCAAGAAATTTTGAATTGGTTCTCCAGTCCATGCTTTACAAAAGCTATAAAGCAATAATAACTAGGATACAAACTATACAACAGTAATAACAGTAGTAATTGACAAAAAAAATATACCTTCATTTTAGCTTGCATTACTAAATAATGTTTCAGTAATAACATGTTACTTTCGTTGACATTTATTGTTTGGATTTGAAATTTGTGGCAATGATTTCTGAACTCTGGCCTGCAGAGCCACATTTCTTGATGCTGTCACTTGTATTTTCATTGAAAATTTTGGCTACCTTAGAAAAACTGGGAGTTGACAGTGGTTGGTCCTGCAATTTTGGGAACTATGAAATACAGAATTTGGGACAGGGAAGAGTTCTCTGCACTCTGCTCCTTGCAAAGGAAATGTTTTATCATAGACGTTACATATTTGTCTTGGGCTTTTTCTCATCATTTGCTAAAATGAAATTGGCCTTTATTTGAAAAGGGGAATGAGAAGGCAGAGCTACTTTCCCAGTAGCTTAAGGAATGTTACTTCTAATCTGTCTTATCTTTTTAAGGAAGCTATAAAAGTAAAGGAGCCACAGGACATGTTTTCAGTGAGTGCTTTACTGAAGGGCTAAATTTAGACCTGCTTGTGTGTGTTACTTGAATACCTGTTTCATCAGGTCATCTTCTCCTTCTTCCCCCCCGCCTTTTCTCTTTACTAAAACCCCTTCCCTTTTTCCCTAGTCTGCTTTCAGCTTTGACCAAGTCTATAGGATGGGTTTCTGTGAGAATAACTGAATAAACAGTACGAAGAGATGTGATCCCTGATCAGTAGTGCTTGTGACAACATGACTCCCTCATATAGGACATTTATTTGCAGCCCAAGGTTGCTAGTCTCGTTTTGGTGGGTTTCTCTGCAGCACACAGTACAGCTTCTTAGCTGCATCCATCTGATTGCAATATACTATAACTATGAACCTGCATTAATAAAACCACCATCACTTAGATAAAGCTTAGTTTGCTGTTTTGCTTTATCTTTAAAGATAAAAGGCACATTTTTTTTTTAAAACATAATTTTGCATTGGCAAACTTACCACACCATTCTAACATAACAAACTAAAAAAAGGCATAAGCACACTTTGTCTTCTCTTGTTTTTCAGTACTCGAGTGCTGAAGGTAGCAACCTCATTATGGTCACAGATGTTCAGTGTCATATACACATTAACTTAACAATGTATTTGTCTGTACAGTAAATCCTCTTTTGTTTCTGGTTTTACAGGCAAATCGTACCTGCCCAATTTGTAGAGCTGATGCTTCGGAAGTGCATCGTGATTCAGAATGACCAATCTTAAGAGCACAAATCTGGTTTGGGTGTTCCTGGTCACATGTATATATGAACTATCTATTGAACTTACCCATGTGGCTTCCAGCCTACCCTTGACACAAAAGGGTCAATGGACCTTACTTTGCACTGTGTGACTTAATCAATTACAAAGCTTATATAACTAGTCTCCACAGTTACGGGGTTGTTATACTAACAGTGTGATTGGAACTCCAAAGATATTTTTTTTAGCTTAATTTTGTGTGTGCACTAACATTCCCTGGTTTTCGTGTGATCATTCCGAGTGTTGCTGCGAGATTACTGTGGACGTGATCTTTTAGCATGTGCTTTTATATAAAAGAAAAAGGAAAAAAAAAAGTGGTAGCTCCAAACAATATAGCAATCTACCTTATATAGAGCCTTCAGATACTGTGAGTGGGAATGAATGGTGTGAATGTGTGTTTGCTTGTGACAGGATGTGTGAAGTGTGCTAGTGACTGAGTGTGCATGTGTGTTTGAGAACTTATATACCAGCATGTACTGAGAACGTATGTGTGTAGTGATAATTATGCTGCAATGTATAATCTTGTGTGTTATTTAAACAGTACTAGTACTGTACACTGGTCCCTTTCCTTGTGTTTGCACTTGCACACTGAATGAGGTGGGTGCAGCAATTACAGACATTTAGTATTTCCTCCCCAATGTACTTACAGATATAAAGACCTTTCTACCTACTATTCAAACAGCTGTTACGCTTCCCCTTCAATGGAGGCTTTAAATGTGTACCACTAAAGAGTGCATTGATTGTTTATACATAAATAACCTTGGAAATTTTAGCATATGTTACAAAGTCTGGATTTTTAAATGGCTGATTTGCAAGTTATTTTATCAATGTAAAGTTGCAATATCGCACAGATCATTTAGCAATATTAACATTTTCAGTTGCTAATATGAATATCAATGCTTTTCTGTTCTCCTTTTGAATTTTTCTAGTTGGGTTTGCCAGTTATGTGCTTCTTCCATGAAAGAAAGCAGAAAGGACACTGAGGGTCTTGTGCAACAGCTCTTCGCTTTTGGCCATTGTACTTGCTAAGGACATAATATTTTAGCTTATAAACATTGGCTTTAATCACATACATTCTTTGTCATTTACAAGGGAGTTTGTATACAACTAAACTTGTAAAAGGTTACAATTTTATTCCTGCAACTTCATAAATAAAATAACATTTTTAGCATTTTCTCAGAGAAGTAGAACTTCTGATTTTTTTTTATCACAAGAGAAGGTGGTTTTTGGTCACTAACTGCAGGATTCAGTTGCCCTGATGCTGCTTCTTGCCCTTCCTTATTTCATGATGAGTGTAATATGAAGAAGGAACTCCCTTGGTCTTTGCAATCAAGTTTCTGGAGCACTCCACTATAGGAGAAAATTGTGACACCTCCCAGAACAGTGCTGTGAAATAGGAGGTGATAACCTCTGTTCAAGTGCTCTGAGTAATGTTTTATTTGGGTTATTGAAAAAAATTAGCTTCATTTGTAACATTCAGACTGTTAACATCTTTGGTATGTTCTAGCAAAATATTTAGGTCTACATATACCATAGTTATTCAAAGGATGCACTTTTTGCAACGAGATTCTCCTCCTAAATTCTGTGTCATTACTTTGGTTGCAGCAGCACAAGTGGCACAATTAGCAATATTGCTGCAACTTGCTGCCAGTCTCAGCTTTAAGTTTATTCTTTGTGATTTCTGATGCTTTTGTATGCTGCTGTGCTTTAGTATCAGTTATAATTTCAGAGTTAGATGTTCTCCATGCTGACTTCCCTCTTTGAAGATTCTACAGAGCAGTCACAGCTCTGGGTGCAGACAAAATAAAAGCACAATTTTGCTTTGTTTCAGATGCTTTTCCCTCTGTTTAGTTATGCAGGTAGTTCTCTAAAACAGTGAGTCTTTCCATAGCTATCCATGCTTAAGAACACTAAATAAATAAAAATGCTGTTACATCAACTTCAAAATATTAGAATTTGTCCTCTCTTCCAGTGGAGTTAAAGAACAGGCTTTTCACAACAACACCTAGAGGGTTAAATTACATGTAATAGAATTTATTTTTTTAACAAATAAAATCACGTTGTTTAAAAAACATATGCCATGTATGTCTTACAAAACTTAGGGTCTTTTATATAGCTGCAAAAGAAGAAATTCTTTGTGTACAGATTTAAACATAACTTAACACTACTGTGCTCAGTATTCAGTTTGAAGCATGGAAAGAGGGCACTTTTTCTAAGCTAGATACAAATGAACAAGACACGTTCTTCTGAAGCGAAGGAAAGTAGTTCTCTTTCTGAATTGGAGAAATCTTGATGTGTAAAGTCCCTTTTTCCCCAGTAAAACTTTGTGAGGCAGTGGGAGATCTAGGAGACGGAGGGTCTAAGTTGGTAAAATCCTGAAATTAATTGTTGCATTCTTATGGCTAATCTCTTCTGGAATGGTTCTTTTGTTTGCATGGGACTCTACAGGTGTATGTGGACTTGCTTCCTGTGGTTAGTGTGTATAAACAGCACACATGCATATGTTCTGAATCAGCTCAGACAAGCTACAACTAAGTCCCCTCTGTTGTGGCTGTCAGGGGAGGGGGATTCATGTTCAGCTGTTAACTGCCATGTGTTATTCACATCTGTGTGTAATTCCACAGCTTGCCATTGTGCCTGGCAGCACCTGAATTCAGCAAGACTTTTTTTCTGTTCATTGCCTTTCTGCCATCACCTGGCTCCTTCGTCTCAAAAAAAAAAAACCAACCAAACAACAACCAAACCTGCAATATGTTTGCTTTATAATATTGGCACTGCTGTGTTTTTTGCATAAACTGTCAATTTAATTTGACATTTTATTGGATATCAAGGCCTACAGATAATTCCAATGTCTCATTTTGTGGCTTTCTTTACAAAAAAATGCCATTATGTACAGGCTCTTGAATGTGATTTCACAGCTGTTAGCACATTGTGTAATACTTGGGAAGAGATTTACCAACCTTTTTAATTTTAATTGTAGAAACACATTTTTGACTGGAGTTATCTTTGGGCCTTTGTAAAAACTGTGTTTTTTTTCTTTGGTACATTGTTACCTCATTTTGCTACTTGTGTTTCAGATTTGCTAATGATTATGAAAGCTTATGGGTTTTGTTGGAATCATATTTTGTCAAGTGTTTTCTTTAAGTCATACTCTATTGTATCATTTAACATGTAGTTTTAAATGTGTTATAAATATCTGTAACCAAATCATTTGAAGGCTTGATAAATTTTTAACAAAATTTGTACATTTTTTATGAGAGTTACTAGTAATGCTTTACTAGGTAGTGCAATGAATTTTTATTTTTAATCCCTGTGCCCAATTTTGGAGTTGAGAGAGTTGTTCAGTAATAAATGTATGATGTACACTTACACAATTTTGTCCTGTTCTTTCTCTTAGAAAGAGGTGCATTGTTTCCCTTCATTAGTCTACATATTTCTGTGCATGATCATGCAACTCTAGATATTGGCAACAGACACTTGTGTTGTAGGGGGAAGTTTTGCCACCTTAACTGTAGTGTTTGACAGACTTTTTTAAAATCTACTTTGAGAGATCATAAGACAATTATATGAAATGTTGTGTCATATTTTTGAAAGTGTAAAATAACTATAATTGATGGAACTCAAAGTCTTGCCTAAAAGATCAGCTTTCTAAAGATGTTACTTAGTCAAAAGAAAATTTGCAGGGATTCTAAGGTGCTCCTTAGACATAGTATTTGCGCTGTGTGTGAGCTGAAGACGTGTTACACTTTGCAGTGCCCTAACAGTGGTAAAAAATGCATCCTGAGTTAAGGATGAAACTGAATTATAAGGAGTTTGATTAGCCAGGGTCACACAAGAAGCTGGTGGTGGAAAAAAAAAAAAAAGAAGTGTTTGCTTTTGTTTTTAATGAGATGATGTAAACTAAGTTAACAGATGTAATTATTTAAAAGGCTTTCATTTACATAGGGCATTTAATACCTTCATCAATTGCAGGGATTCTTCGTCCTCAAACATATTTGAAAATCTGTTGGTGCTTTGAGAATTGTTATGCAAAGATTCATAGGCGTGTCTTTTGGATTTGTAATCCTGGATAACAACTAGTTTGCCCTCTTTCATACAGCAGATGTTAATTATTAGTTACACTGTGGAAAATGGACAGTGCTGCAAGTAGTACTTGCAAAGCTAAGGTACTGGGCTGCCCAGCTTCCGTGATGATAGGGGAGCTTGGAAGTACTGGTGACTGGCTTAGAGCCTGTACCAGCAAGGCCCTGAGAGTAGAGCAGGGCTTCCTTGTAAAGATCATAGAATACCTTGAGTTGGAAGGGACCATTAAGGATCATCAAGTCCAGCTCCCTGATCCTCACAGGACTACCTGAAAGTGAACCATGTGACTAAGAGCATCATCCAGATGCTCCTTGGACACTTAACAGGCGTGGTGCTGTGACCACTTACCTGGAGAACCTGTTCCAGTGAACGACCGCCCTCTCAGTAAAGAACCTTTTCCTAATGTCCAGTCTGAACTTCCCCTGGCACAGCTTCATTCCATTTTCTTGTGTCCTATCACTGGTCACCAGCAAGAGATCAGCACCTCCCCCTCTACTGCCCCCCTTGAGGAAGCTGTAGACTGCCGTGAGGTCACCCTTCAGCTTTCTCTTCTCCAACCTGAACATGCCAAGTGACCTCAGCCACTTCTCCTAAGTCTTGCCCTCAAGACCTTTCACCACCTTGGTCACTCTCCTCCAGACACACTCTAATAGTCTGATGTCCTTCTTATATTGAGGTGCCCAAAGCTGCACACAGTACTTGAGGTGGGGCCGCATCAGTGCAGTGTAGAGTGGGACAAGCATATCCCTCGACCAGCTAGCTAGGCTGTGCTTCATGCACCCCAGGACACAGTTGGCCCTGTGGCAGGGCCCCCAGGGCACACTGCTGACTCATATTCAATTTGTCATCAACCCAAACTCCCAGATCTCTTTCTACGGGACTGTTCTTCAGCCTCTTGTCCCCCAGTTTGTACATATAACCAGGATTACCTGTTCCCAGGTGGAGAATCTGGCACTTGTTCAGTTCCATATGGTTGGTGATTGCCCAACTCTCTAGTCTATCCAGACCCCTCTGTAAGGCCTCTCTACACTTGAGGGAGCCTGCAGCTCCTAATTTACTATCATCGGTGAAATTAATGTACATTCGACTCCTGCCTCCAGATCATTTAGATAACATTAAAGAGCACTGGCCCTAAAATTGAGCCCTGCAGAACCCCACTAGTGACAAGATGAACCTAAGCAAAGCTGACATAAGCTTAGCTGCTGCCTCTGCACCAGGATTTTGTCCATTTCCCTTTGGCCACTATTCCCTGCCAGCACCAGCAAATGTATATATACCACAAACAACTTCTGAGGTGCAGCACCAACCTGTGTGAAGTTCTGAGCATCAGGTTATACCCAGGCAGCAGCCAAATTCGTAATTCATGTGAGCTGTGCTGAATTAGGCAGTGCTCCCAGCAACAGAAAACTAATCTTTTCTGCAACAGAGTTCATGTAAACGTACCATGCACTGTGTGTACAGACTGTACAGTTTGTACTGTAGCAGGGACATGTTTTGTAGTATATCACAGTGTTTGTGCAACAGGGAGACCTTTGGCAGGAAGACAGCTGATCCCTAGGCAGCTTCCTGCTGTACCTTTCTATGCAAAAGAAAGGATGATGTTTGACTGGAAGCTTCTGCATGGGGGAGTAAGGCTCAGAAAACACTTGTCAG